GGCCGGGAATCGAACTCAGATGGCTCTCAGTGGCTGCAGATAGCTTCATAGTGCTGCATCTTAACCCCTTGTGATACCAGGGAGGCCCTGCCATTTCTTCTTAATCATCTGAGATTGTGACTTGCAAATCTCTTGGCCTCTTCCTCATCCCTTAACCTTGTGTGTCTTCTGTCAACTACCCTCCCAGAACAGGTGCTTGGCCCTACCCTGTGCAGTAATGTCACTTCTATTCTCCCTTCCCAGTTTGCCTTGGAGCACATTCTCACCACATCCTGGGTCATGCCGCTCCCCTTCACTATGTCCGTTGCGTGATGAAGTCTGTAGTCTCCAATATGACTGTACATCTAATCTGAAATATAAGAACCTACAGCCCTCCATTCTCTACCCCTTCCCTAATCCTGTTCTCCCTATGTGGAAGTACAGCTTGCTAGAGCTGATAGGACCTTAAGAACCCTCTAGATCAGTCTTTCCCAAAATGTATCAGTGATCAGACGGGGGCAGAAAACACTGTCTCCCAGACACTGCCTTGGAAATTCACAGACATATTAACTTATTTCAGGCTCTGAAAAGTTCTGCCATAAAGAAACCTGCTTAAGGGCCTCCCTCGTGGCGCAAGGGGTTAAGCACCGCACTATGAAGCAATCCACAGCCTCTGCAGCACGAGTTCGATGCCCGGCCGGCCAGGGAGCTACCCACATGGCGCAGCAGACCTCTCCTGTCTAGCCAGCTGCTCCCCTCAGCAGTGTATTTCAGTCTGCCTGTTCTGTTTCCCACTCTGTCTCTGGTGAATCCTCTCACACACACACCCATCTCTGGCCTGTACCCCAGCTCTTGTATGCATAAATAAATCTTTAAAAAAAGAAAAGAAAAAAAGAAACCTGCTTAACCAGTATCTGAAAAGGTTAACCCTGAAACTCTTCTCTCTCTCTCTCTTTCTCTTTCTCTGGCAGGGGAAGTGCCAGGTAAAGTTTTGTAGAGTTCTGACCTAGATTAATCTTTGTCTTGGCAATAAAGAAATAGAGGCCTAGAAAGACCCAGGTAGTGACATGTTTAAGGTCCTATAGTGGAAATGCTGAGGCCAGAACCTCCCTGGATTGACGCAAAGCCTGCCGGCTTTTGTTATTTAATGTTTTACTTTGTGCAATGTAATTCTTTTTGTTTAAAATTTTATTTTTATTTATTTACGCATACAAGGGCTGTAGGCCAGAGGTATGGGCGGGGTGAGAAGATTCACCAGAGACAGAATGGGGAGCAGAATAGGGAGACCTACTGAAATATTCTGCTGAGGGGAGCAGCAGGCGAGACAGGAGAGGTCTGCTGTGCCATGTGGGTTAGCTCCCTGGCTGGGGATCAAATTTATGATGCAGTGGCTAGAGATAACTTGATAGCACAAGACTTGAACCCCTGCACCACCGGGGAGGCCTGCGATGTAATTCTTGAAAATGTCTGACCAACAGTTGTCTGCCCTTGGCCAAATTGTTTCATCTGTATCCTGGCTACTTCTCACTGCTCTCCTGAAAGTAAATCTGAGATATCATATCACTTCTTTCCTAAATCCCTAGTTATGTATCTAAAAGATTTAAAAAAAAAAAAACACCTTTGTTTTCCCCGTATCAAACTATTGTAGTATGCTTTTATCATATCTAAAAATAACTGGTGGCCAGATTTCCATATTTCCCTTGCATTTCATTTGTACATAGTTGTTTGTTCTCAGCAGGATCCACTGGGACCCTCCCACCCCCCATAGCATTTGGTTGCTAGGGGGACCCTTGTATGCTGCCTTGTCACTATAGCAGCTCTGAAACCTTGAACCAAGTTATTTAACCTCTCTGAGAATGTTTCTTCCGTTAATTTTAGTAGCTCATACATTGTTATAAGAACGGAGAATGAGGGCCTCCCCTGGTGGCACAGCGCTTGCGCGCTGGGCTGCAAAGCTGCCCGCAGCCTCTACAGTGCCGGTTAGATCCCCGGCCACCGGCGAGGGTCCCACATGGTGCTCAGACCCTTCCTGCCCTGCCTGCTGCTCCCCTTGCAATGTATTTCGTCAGTCTGCCTGTTCTGTTCCCCGCTCTGGCTCTGGTGAATCCTCTCACCCTCCCGCACTTCTGACTGTACCCAGTGCTTGTATAAATAACTAAGTAAATCTTTAAAAAAAAAAAAAGTGTTGGGCCTCCCCGGTGGTGCAGCGGTTGAGCGCTGGGTTGCGAAGCTGCCCGCGGCCTCTGCGGCCCTGGTTCAATCCCCGGCTGCTCCCCGGCCACAGGAGGAGGGTCCCACATGGCGCGCAGACCTCTCCTGCCGCCCGCTGCTCCCCTCAGCAGTGTACTTCGGTCCTTCTGCCTGCTCTGCTCCCCGCTCTGGCTCTGGTGAATTCTCTCACCCTCCCGTGCTTCTGACTGTACCCAGTGCATGTATAAACAAAATAAATAAATAAATAAATAAATAAGTAAAACATGCCTCTATTAAAAAAAAAAAGTGTTAAAAAAAAAAAGAACGGAGAACGATAATAAATATAACTTGCTAGCTTCAATGCCTGGTATCTGTAGCACTAGTATTATGATTGTCACTGTGAGGGTCTCCTAGGCAAGATTATAGATAACTCAGCAGTAGAGCCATTCTTTCAGACCATTTTTATTTTATTAAAGATTTATTTTTCTATTTATTTATGCATATAAGAACTGGGGTCCAGGCCAGAGGTGCCGGGTGGGGGGTTGAGAGGATTCACCAGAGACAGAGTGGGGAACAGAACAGGCGGATTAAGTGAAATACACCTGCTGAGGGGAGCAGCAGGCGGGACAGGGGAGGTCTGCTGTGCCATGTGCGTTATTGTTCGCTGGCCAAAGATCGAACTCATGCCGTAGTGGCCAGCAAAAGCTTGATAGTGATGAGACTTAACCCCTGCACCACCAGGGAGGCCCCCCCCCTTCCAACTTAACTGTTAACAGCATCACCTTGGTGCCCAGATTGACCTACGGTTCCTGACTTTTTTATCCCTGCTACCAACATTGGTAAAGAGCTTACACACACATTACAGTGTATTCAGGGGCATAGCTCTTGAATGAATTTTTGGCAGTGCAGTTGTTGACTGCATTTGCTAATTTTTTGCCTCCAAATGCTTGATCTCTTTACTCTCTTGAAAATTAAAGGTTACAATAATCCCTACTTCAGTCCTTTTGTGGGATCACCAAGCAAAATATTGGATTTGAACTGGATATTAACTAAGGAGCTGTACACCTGGTAGTCAGGAGTTAATTGGATTGGCTTCTTGAAGGGCCTTCAGGTTTCATGGGCTCTTGCCTTCTTTGACTTCCTTGTGGCTTCCTAGCTCAGTCTGATTTAGGAGATAAAAGATTTCCTCCCTTTGTTTACATGGTTTGTTTTGCAAAGGACAACAGCCCCAGCCCCACAGGATTGTTTTTCTGGAGTGAGATGGGTGTGGGGCCTTGGGTTTAGGGTATTACTTGAGGGCCTTCCCCTGCTCCTGGTGGATGTCTTCTTAGTTTTTAATTAGTCATATTCTGGAAGACGAAGAAGTGGAAAATTTTTAAGCAGTTGCCAAATAGTGACTCTAGGCTGTAGCCTGCAGGTGAAACATGGAGGAGCCAGATTGCTGGCAACACTTTGTTTTCAGGAATTGGAGCAAGCCAGCAGAACAAAGGCAGCTCCCACAGGAGGTATTCGCAGGCTTCTGAGGGGAAGGTTTGAAGGCCCTGAAGTGAGTTGTGAATTGAACAGGCCAAGCTATTTAGTCCCTCATGGTGTGCTTCCCAAAAGCTGATTTTCTAGGTCAACATTGTCCAATAGAATCTTTTTTAAAATTCAAATTGAGGTAACACTGGTATACCACACTGTGGAAGTTTTAAGTGTGCAGCTTAATGCTTGGCTATCTGACTGTTATCTATGCTACCTTATGATCAGAAGTCTAGTTTCCATGCATTTGACCCCTTTGATCATCAGAATCCTTTTTTTTTTTAAATTGTTTTTTTTTTTTTTAAAGATTTATTTATTTATTTTTACAGGCACTGGGTAGTCAGAATGCAGGAGGGTGAGAGAATTCACCAGAGTCAGAGAGGGGAACAGAACAGGCAGACTGACGAAATACACTGCTGAGGGGAGCAGCGGACGCGGCAGGAGAGGTCTGCGCACCATGTGGGACCCTTGCTGGCGGCCGGGTATCGAACCTGCACTGCAGAGGCTGCGGGCAGCTATACAACCCAGCGCTCAACCTCTGCGCCACCAGGGGAGGCCCCAGAATTGTTTTTTTAAAAAAAGATTTATTGATTTATTCATGAAAGAACTGGGGTATAGGCTAGAGGTATAGGGGGTGAGAGGATTCACCAGAGACAGACTGGGGGAGCAGAATAGGTGAATTTGTTGACATACGCTGCTGAGGGGAGCAGCGGACTAGACGAGAGAGGTCTGCTGCACCATGTGGGCTGCTCCCTGGCCAGGGATTGAGCTCATACCTTAGTGCTAAGACAACCTCTACACTACCAGGGAGGCCCTGATCAGTAGAATTCTTTATGTAGATGGAAATGGCCTCTATTTGGCACTGACCAGTACTGTGCCTGCCAGACCAGCCTGTATGGCTCTTGGACATTTGAAAGAACTGATGCAACCGAAGAACATAATTTTACATTATTTACAATATTACGGAATTTTAGAATTTAAATAACCACATATTTAGTGACTCAGAATCTGTGGTATTATTCGTTTGTCAGATCAGGTACCCCCAGCCCCAAGTCCATAAATTCTTCTGTTTTCGCTAACTTCTTACACACTTTCTGAAAGGGTAAACACTTGTGTTGTACGGTAAAATAGGCTGTCTTGTTCGCCATTTGTTCCAGATGCACCTTTTTTCTTTCCAGCTGGATTGGTATCTTCACAGAGCTAGCTGAGTCTTTATTACTTTATCATCTAGGTCATAAAGTTGTGCCTATTAAATAATGCCAGCTGATTAATTGATTTTCCCCCTTTCACTGATTTCTCCTGTTTCCCAGGTGCCTTGAAGAAGAGTCTCTCAGCTGAGCAGGTCCGGGCTGACTTCATAACCCTGGGTAGGTTATCGCCAAGGTGACTGAGAGTGACTGAGAGTGACCTGCTAGCCACTCTTTAATATGCTAATGTTTCCTATTCTCTTATAGGTCTCAGTGAGGAGAAAGCCACTTACTTTTCTGAAAAGGTATCATAATTCAGATCACTTTCTTTTTTTTTTTTAAAGATTTATTTATTTATGCATACAAGAGCTGGGGTGCAGGCCAGAGGTGCGGGGAGTGGGGGCAGGGGAGTGTGTGTGTGTGAGAGGATTCACTAGAGACAGAGTGGGGGACAGAACTGGCAGACTGACTGAAATACACTGCTGAGGGGAGCAGTGGGTGAGACAGGAGAGGTCTGCTGTGCCATGTGGGTAGCTCCCTGGCTGGGGATTGAACTTGTGCTGCAGTGGCTGCAGATTGCTTCATAGTGCTGACACTTAACACCTTGTGCCACCAGGGAGGCGCCTTAGATCATTTGCTTTTATTTCATGAAAAGAAACAAATGGAAAATGCCAACTAAGGAAAAACTATCCGTCATCATATGTCATTTCCCTATTTAATGTTTTTCCTTTGGTTTCATGCAAATCCAGTACCATTTGGTGCATCACTAATTGTTTTCCTCTGATTTGACTGGATGTAAATGTCATACAGTTTTTGTTTCAACCTGGATTACATCTTCTGGTAAAAGAAAACATGTAGATTGTCCTCTTCCCCTCTTCCCTCTCCTCTCCCCCCAAGCCTATGCATATAGGTCCAGCCCTTGTTTCTGCATTCCTCCCCTTCTCTGTGGGGGGCTGGATGATATTTTCCATTGATATGACTGTGCCTTTTTGCTTTTGTTCCAGTGGAAGAAGAACGCCCCCACCCTGGCTCATTGGGCCATAGGTCAGACTCTGATGATTAACCAGCTTATAGATATGGAGTGGAAATTTGGAGGTAACCAGTTAGAGCCAGTTCTGGGTCATGTGGGTGAGGCAGGGTGGGGTTGCAGAGGCTTTTCTGTAGTTTTGATGGGGGAGCTGTGTCCTCAGTCATCAGTGTTGAGACCAGCAGCTGGTGCTCTGTATCGCTGTCCGTACGCTGCCAGTATTTCGACCTGTGGCTCATGCAAGGGTGGTCCCCGAAGAGCACATTTTGCCCCCATACAGTTTCTGCTGGGCAATCAGCAAAGCTTGGGGTCTTCAGAGTATGTCTTCAACCAGTCACTGATTATTTTTCTCTCTTGTGTATCAGTGACATCTGGGAGCAGTGAGCTGGAGAAAGTGGGAAGTATTTTTTTACAAGTAAGTCTTCCCCTGATCTTTGCAAATGGGTACCTTTTTGACTGGGTTAAAAACTATTACATCTGCATCAGGTTTCTTTAAATACCCATTGACGGGGTGATCACTGAGGAGGCTCTATAGCTCAGAGCACTGTGGTCAGCCAAACAAGTAGTCACTCACAAGCCTCAGATGAACAGGATTGTGACTGTGTTCTTAACAGTTTGACTGTCCCCATAAGCATGGAAATTGCTAGAAGTTTTAGTGTTGGACAGTCCAGACATTTCCTGTGTAATTCTTGAGTTAGAATCTGGATGTTTAGATGTTCAAGTGAAAGTTCAGGTGTCAGGAATTTCTTGGCCCACTTGTCACCATTTGAATGTAAATATTTATTTATTTTTTTTAATCAGTTAAAGTTGGTGATTAAGAAAGGAAATCAAACTGAAAATTTGTACATAGGTGAGTCCAAATTCACGTTTGAGCTTTTTCACTCTCCCCATGTTCTCTGTCATCAGTGGGCTCAGGAAGCCCACTGCAAATGATTTCTATCAGGAAAAAAGTCACAGCTGAGCGGTGGAGTAGCCATTCCACTGCCTTTTCTCTCATAAATAATAAGCCACCCGGCAGGCTGGAGGCCCCACAGTTGAAGTCTTTTTGGAAAGGGGAAGGTGCGGGGAAAGGATGGCTGTGATGGAACAGCAGAAGCACTTGATGTAGATGCAGGAGTCCCCGCATAACCTGAGCAAGCCCTGGCTCCTTGTGCTGTGGAGTCAGGCTCTTTCCAGCCTCCCCCCTTTTCATGGAGCAGAGAGCCCATGTTCAAGGCTCTCCCTCCTTTATTACCATTATTGCCCCTCTAGAACCACTTTGTAGTACTAACCCCAAAAGAAAAAGAATTGGAGGAAATTAAATTCTCTGGATGATTCTGTGGAGTTGGAAACATTTACCTGAAGCTTAATTTTCTCTCCCCAGAATTAACCTTGCCTCAGTTCTACAGCTTCCTGCACGAAATGGAGCGAGTCCGAACCAGCATGGAGTGTTTCAGCTGACTTCTGTCCCCCAGCCTTCCCTGCCCCCTTTCCTCGCTGGGTGACCGCTCAGAGGCACCTTGCTTCAGCCCTGTGGGGCGCTCCATTCGGCCCTTGCTTCTTGGGAGCCCAGGTGCAAAGGTTTCTGAAAAACAACAGGATTAAGTACTTAAAAAGGCCTACACAATTACCCTGCAAACTCTTTGTTAAGAAACATCCACCTCCTATCTCCAGGAAACTTTTTAAGATATTCAGACAGAGTTCAGCAGCTCCCGTTCAGGGGAGGAAACAAGTTGAGTCACCATCAAACTTCCAGAGTCGAGGAATGGTGCCATCTCTCCAAATGCAAACCCCTCAAAAGCGCCAGGGCTTGGCCACGGCGGACTGCATGACACTGGTAGGGGCGTCTGAATGACCTGGGGTTGGGGGACACCCAGCCGTATTGCTGCATACTGTGAGGTGGTGGTGCATTGCTTACCGGTTTTTAATGGGGAACTGTGTATCAACACATGCTTGGTCCACTGTAAAAAGAAGTGAGGCTGCATTCTGTCTTCATTCCAGGTTCTGCCCTGTTGTTTTGTAATAAAGTAACCCTTTTCAGGCTGTGTTGGCTTGTTTTGGTTCAGGCTGACTTTATTGCTTAGATGATGAATAAAAAGGTTCTGAAGGAAAGGTTGGCATCTAGTTGTCTTTATGCATGGATTAAACTAGGTGCTCTTCAAAAATTCTCTTCCTGATTTTGGTGAAGGCCCTGGGTCTTCAGTGAAATTGGCTGTAGTCCAAAGTTGGAATCCTGGGGCCTCCCTGGTGGCACAAGGGGTTAAGTCTCAGCACTATCAAGCTGTCGCCAGCTACTGCTGCATGAGTTCAATCCCCAGCCAGGGATTGACCTGCTGACCCACATGGTGCAGCAGACCTCTCCTGTCTGCCCACTGCTCCCCTCAGCAGTGTATTTCAGTAGATCTACCTGTTCTGCTCCCCACTCTGTCTCTGGTGAATCCTCTCACCATACCTCTGACCTGTACCCCAGTTCTTGTATGCATAAATAAATCTTAAAAAATCAATGCATATCAGAACAGAGCCGCCCATTCTTTGTAACAAACACCATGTTTCTTCAAATGCATGATTTATTTAACCTGTTTTCACCAATGGGTAGTTAGCTTGTTTCCTTATATAAATTCTCATAAACAGTGCTGTAGTTGAATATTTTTGTATGCACAGAAGCATATTTATGCCAATAGATGTGAATTGCTGGGTCAGAGTATCCAAGAGTATAGCACTTACTCAGTTCCCCTGTTGCCTCCCTTTCCTTCCAGAGGGCTCCCCACCCCCATCAGCAATGGAAATTTTAATTTTTACTCTTGTTTACACCAATGATTCTACACTACACACTTTGGCTAATACACCTTGAAGCGCTTTCCATATCAATACATAGAGTCTGCATCTGTGTCTCCTTGTAGGCTATTCCTTTTTTTATTTTTTTAAGATTTTTTTTAAATTTATTTATACAAGAACCGGGGTACAGGCCAGAGATGCAGGGGGGTGAGAGAATTCACCAGAGAGAGTGGGGAACAGAACAGGCAGACTCACTGAAATACACTGCTGAGGGGAGCAGCGGGCAAGACAGGAGAGGTCTGCCTCACCATGTGGGTTTCTCCCTGGCTGGCCGGGGATCGAACTCATGCTGCAGAGGCTGTGGATTGCCTCATAGTGCGGTGCTGAATCCCTTGCAACACCAGGGAGGCCCTCTTGTAGGCGATTCTGATGTGTGTGGTCATAATCAGCATTTTTGTTTTGTTTCTAAAGATTTATTTATGCATACAAGATTTGGGGTGTAGGCCAGAGGTGGAGGGTTGAGAGGATTCACCAGAAATAGAGTGGGGAGCGAAACAGTCAGAGCTCCTGAAATACACTGATGAGGAGCAGCAGGTGAGACAGGAAGGAGAGGTCTGCTGCACCATGTGGTTAGCTCCCTGGCCTGGGATTGAACTCAGGCTGTTGTGGTGGGCCTTTGCAGTGCTGAGACTTAACCCCTAGACCACCAGGGAGGCCCTTGACTATGATTTTAAAAGTCCGCCAATTTAAATGTTAAGCTCATCTGAAAAACAGAAACAGCCAGAGAATGTTTGACCAAATACCTGGGCACAGTGGCCCAGCCAAGTTAACACACAAAACCATCACAGTGCCAAACTGACCTCAACAGAGACTGTTCTAAGGCATGCAAGCTTGCTGTCCATAAGTACTAAAGAAGAGGTAATCAGTGCCTTTGGACAAAGTGACCAAATGTGTCCAGGTGTCTGAATGCCTCATGTGCCCGAGATGGATGAGAATCTAATGTGAAGCGAATTTACAGACTGTCAGAACGGGAAGGCGCCTAACATAAGTCTAGTTAAATCCACTCACATGCAGATGGGGACGTGGAGGCCTGGAGACTGGTCACTAGCCAGTGGCCAGGGCCGCCCAGTAGTGCTAGTGTCAGGCAAGATGCTCTGAAGGAGTTGCTTCCAGATGGCCACTGGGCAGATTGTGACCAAAGAGCTTTCGGCCTGCCGGGTTCAGGTCCTCCTACCCTTCCTGGACCGCATCAGTGGCTTCTGAATGACCCAGCCTCGGGCTTCCACATCCCAGTGTCCAGAATCCAGCCTGTTGCGGCCTTCCTGGTGGCGCAAGGGGTTAAATCTCAGCACTATCAAGCTATAGGCAGCCACTGCAGCAGGAGTTCTATTCCAGGCCAGGGAGCTGACCCACATGGTGCTGCAGACCTGTCTCCCCCTCTACTCTCCTCAGCAGTGTATTTCAGTAGATCCGCCTGTTCTACTCCCCGCTGTCTCTGGTGAATCCTCTTACCCCCTGCACCTCTGGCCTTTACCCCAATTCTAGTGTGCATAAGTAAATAAATCTTTAAAAAAATTCTGGGGAAATCGGTTTGATTGTTGGTCAGACAGTAGACAGAGTATAGATAAGTCTATTGTGTAAGGTGGCCAGGCAGGGGCCATCTCCCAAGAGCAGCAGAAGCCCTTGCTCCCGGCTCTACCGGCATTCTCAGAGCGCCGCCTATGGGCCCAAGCTCCTCTGGGCCCTTGGGAGCGGAGCCATAAGCTGTGTACACAGATCACTGACAGTTTGTCTTTTCAGGGACCCTATTTCTATGCAAGAAGAGATTATGTCCTCATTCCCATCTGCTGTAGTTCAGATCCCATCATGAAGTCCAGGAATGGCTCCTGTCCTCTAGTATTGGAATCTTGTCACAAATATAACCTATTGAGTCAGGGGCATTTATCAGGGCTGCAGACTGTTAGGCAGGGATTTGGCCACAAGGCTCCGGGGATTGGAGCTGGTTCTTTCTTACTTTTAGCACTTCATCATCCTGCTGTCCGTTTGTCTAGCCTTTGGCTGCTGGATATTCTTATTTTATGTTTTACTTCTGGAGTATAATGTTCATTAAGATGGCAATGGTTAGGTCAAGAGAGGATCAACCAGAATACTGGTGTTCCTTCCCCGGAGTTAGAAAGGACTGTTCTGGGGACTCGCTGATGGCACAAGGGGTTAAGTCTCAGCACTATGAAGCTATCCGCAGTCACTGCAGCATGTCCCCAGCCAGGGAGTATTTTGGTGTATTTGACACTGTTGTTCCCTTTTACTCTGGTGAGTGGTGAGGGAGGCTTCTCCGACTCATGGGGTGCGTGGCCCTAACAGGCCCTGAAGAGGGGCGTCCCAGACTTCATTCTCCCTTCACGTGGCCTGTGTTCTGAGGGAGATGAAGAAGCTGCCTCTGGCCTCTTTGGAGAGACCGTTTACCTACTGTTGACTAAATAAAGACTTAGAGAGGCTTATGGAATAAGGCGGCTTTCACATCAAAGTGCTCTTACAAAACAGCTTGGTGATGAGTTAAGTACAAATGAATCAGAAACAGATGGACTCAATTTCCTAGAAAATACCCCTGGGCTTCAACAAGAAGAGGGAAAGTGCTCAGCCAAAGGCATTGTGGGTTTTTGCTGATCCTAAAATATGCTCAACGATTTTGCCTGAAACAGAGCGGAGAGATTGGGACTCTTCAGGTTCCAAGTCCTTATAAACTCCTGGCTGGCATCCTGCCGGCCCCTCAGCAGGTTCCCAGCAGCCCCCCACCCCTGCTCCCTAGGGGTGCCAAGGGGATCTGCCAATCTGGTCCTGCCGTGAGGACTGGACAGGGTGCCAGCAAGACCGTCTTCTTCTGCATCCATCCCCTGACCATAAAAACACAGGAATTTAATTTAGATGACCTCTAAGAGGCCTTTTCATCACGGGTGTTGCACAAGTAATAAAGCAATAACAGTGACAACTGCCAACATTTGCTGAGTGATTCCTTATGCTAGACACCGCGTTAAGTGCTTTATATACATTGCCTGTTTTACTGCTTCAAGCAATCCTGAGCTAGAACTCCAATCATCTGCATTGTACAGATGAGACTGCTGAGGCCCAGAGACCCACAGCAGACATATGGTGCAGTCTGGACTTTAACTAGTGATGGAGCATCTCTTGGCCATTTCTAGCCTGGTAGTTCCTGGATTTGCACTCTCAGGTTGGTACTAAATAATCTCCTCTCTCAGGCCTCCCTGGTGGTGCAAGGGGTTAAGCACCGCACTGTGAAGCAATCTGCAGCTTCTGCAGCTGAGTTCAATCCCCGGCCGGCCAGGGAGCAACCCACATGGCGTGGCAGACCTCTCCTGACTCACCCGCTGCTCCCCTCAGCAGTGTATTTCAGTCAGTCTGCCTGTTCTGCTCCCCACTCTGTCTCTGGTGACTCCTCTCACACACACCCTCATCTCTGGCCTGTACCCCCACTCTTGTATGCATAAATAATCTTTAAAAAAAAATAATAATCTCCTCTCTCACCACCCTACCCGAGGCCGTCCATTCTCTAAGAAGCCTCGTGAGCCTGGCCAAGGAGCCTGAAAGCACAGCTGCCCTCCCCGTGTAGCTCCTGTAGCCCCCATACGTGCCCATGTCAGGTGCTGGCATGTGCAGCCTTGTTCTCAGGAAGGTGGACAGTGGCTCCAGGGCATTGTTCCAGACCCCACTAGAGGGGCCCTGGAGCAGGGACCAAGAGGACTCAGTCAGAGACTAAGCCTATGAGAGGTGGCGACGGGGCTAGGCAAGCAGCAGGTATGACGGGACAATGGCAGCCAAGGAGGTGGTGTCATCCTTACAGGGAAGGGGAAGGGCATGGCACTTATGGAAGAACTCGAGGTAGTTTAAGATGTCAGAGCCCAAGAGGCGAGTGTCAGGGACCACAGGAGAGAAGGCCAGGAAGAATTCAGAGGCCGGATGCTACCAGGCGAAACTTAGGACTGGCCCCAGAGGAATCCTGGACAGGCGCTAAGTGGGAGAGCGACAGAAGCACCCGTGCCCTCCTTTAGGCCTGCTGTGCCCTCCTTTAGCCCTGCCCTCCTCCTCGGTAGCTGTCTCCAGCTCAACTCAAGTGGGAGCAAAGGCCCCAAGGGCAAGGGGTGTGTCCAGCACTGCCCGCAGTAAGTGCCCAGACTGTCTTCACCGACAGTGCTGGAGACAGGAGCTGGGTGGCCTTGATCCTAGATGTCCTCCTCCCGCAACATGGTGCAGGTCCTGTGTGTTGGGGCAGCTAAGAAAGCCTGTAAAGCAGGCACCTGGGCAGTAATTCTAACTCTGGCCACTCTAGAGAATCACCTGGACAAAGTCAGCAAAACACCAATGTCACACCAGCAGCCCAGGCCCCAGAATCAGGGTTTCTGGAGCAGCAGGGCCTGTATCAGTGTTTTTAGAAGCTCCCAGGTAGCCCCAATGCATGGCCAGGAATGCAGTGACTGGCAACCTTC